TATTATTATTACCAATTATTGTGATTACAATCAACAACATCAACAACAACAACAACAGCATCATCAACAATACCAAAAACAACACCAACAACATCAACAAAACCAACAACATCAACAAAACCATCAACAACAACAACAACAACATCATCAACAATACCAAAAACAATACCAAAAACAACACCAACAACATCAACAAAACCATCAACAAAACCATCAACAACTATCATCAACAACAACATCAACTACAACAACACAAACAACAGATTCGTGTGGCAGCAGTGAATTCCAATGCAAAAACAGGGGCTGCATACCGCAATCGAGGCGATGTGACGGTGTCGTCCACTGCTCTGACGAGAGTGACGAGCAGAATTGCGGTTCGTAGATTCACTCAAAATTACTTCTTTTTAAAGTTTAGATGAGTAACTCTTAGTGATTCTCTTTCTCCTCGTTCACCACTGCGCAACTCAGGGCTTTTTCGTTTATTTTCCACTCACTCACTCACTCACTCACTCACTCACTCACTCACTCACTCACTCACTCACTCACTCACTCACTCACTCACTCACTCACTCACTCACTCACTCACTCACTCACTCACCCACTCACTCACTAATTCACTCATTCACCACTCACCCACCCACCAGACTGCGGCACGACGGGGTGTTCTGCGCCACGACCGGGCTGTGTATCTTCAGGGAGAAACTCTGTGACCACGTGACTGACTGTCCAGATGGCTCCGATGAAATTAATTGTCGTTAGTTACGATGGAGGTGGTAATGATGATGATGATGATGGTGGAGGAGGAGGTGATGATGATAATGATGTTGTTGTTGTTGATGATGATGATGATCGAAAAGATGATGGTGGAGGAGGTGATGATGATAATGATGTTGTTCTTGATGATGATCGAAAAGACAACAGTGATGATGATGGTAGAGGTGATAATGATGTTTTTGATGGTGATGATGATGATCGAAAAGACGATGGTGGTGGTGGTGGTGGTGACGATGATAATGAAAAAGATGATGACGGAAAGTGCTTTGAAAAGATGGTGACAAAAGAGATAATGGTGGCTTTGGTGAAACTAATTGCATCATTCACACACGTTAATTTATGTTAATTTCATTAATAAGAATTGTTAACTCAGGCTAATTTTACTAATTGAATATGCTAATTCATGTTAATTGTATTAATCAGATATGTTAATTTATGTTAATTGTATTAAAATCAGATATGTTAATTTGTGTTAATTGTATTAATCAGATATGTTAATTTATGCTGACCACGCCCACCAGCCTGCACGGACAGGTACATGCCGTGCAAGAATGGGCCGTGCGTGCATGTTGATTGGCGGTGCGATGGTCAGGCCGACTGCCCGCTCGCTGATGACGAGGCTGGATGCCGTTAGTGAAAGAATAAAGATAGATGGATGGATGGATGGATGGATGGATGGATGGATGGATGGATGGATGGATGGATGGATGGATGGATGGATGGATGGATGGATGGATGGATGGATGGATGGATGGATGGATGGATGGATGGATGGATGGATGGATGGATGGATGGATGGATGGATGGATGGATGGATGGATGGATGGATGGATGGATGGATGGATGGATGGATGGATGGATGGAT